ACCCCCCCCCCCCCTCCACAAACACACTTTTCTGTAGGCCTATGCAATAAATTCGAACTCTTCAAAGCAGCGCGCCTGCAACAATAATGAATGTCAGAAATGAAGTGACAGTGTGCGTCTATCTTGAAGTTTGATTGATTTGCTTAAAGAGGATAACATCAACATAATAAAGGTAATCTATTGTCGAGGAAAAGTAAGGTTGTCAAACTGAAACAACAGGTGCCCTCCAACTATCCGCTCTATATTGAAGAAGCTTCTCAAAGCTGTTTAGTTTCTAAAATTTAAAAAAAGGGCTCGATTGACGCATGTGGCTTGAGAAGCCAAATCCTACTCCTCTTCTTATCAGGAAAAAGACCAACAAGCCTAACGTTGAATTTAAAAAGAGGAAGACACGAAGAGGAGAAGTCCACGGGAGAGACCTGGAGAGGAGGGGGGGGGGGCGAGAGGGTGAAAACGAAAAGAAACAGCTCTTTGTCACACACAAAAAAAGAAGGGTAAGGGGTATCGAGGTGGTCTTGGGGACAACAGACAGAAAGACAGACAGATAAATAGATAGACGGATGGAGGGAGGGAGGGAGGGAGGGAGGGAGGGAAGGAAAGAGACGGACAGACAGACAGATAGATAAATAGATAGACGGATGGACAGATGGAGGGAGGGAGGGAGACGGACGGACGGACAGACAGGTCACAGACAGACAGACAGACAGACAGACAGACAGACAGACAGACAGACACATACCCGTTATAGCCGGCCAGACTGTGGTGCTGGACCTTGTCGGTGTCGGGTCCGGGGTAGGCGCCGGTCAGTGTGTAGGCGGCAACAGCTCGGCCGTTGTGCTGTGGGGGGCCACCGTAACTGACGTGCTGGTTGCTGTCGCTCACACCGCCGCCGCCGCCGCTGGTCCTGACGAACGTGGTGACGTTGTTGTTGTTGTCGCTGACGTGGTGAGTGGTCGTCGTGCCGCTGTTGTTGCCGCTGTTGTTGTTGTTGATGATGCTGCCGTTGCAGTCGCCGTTGGCGAAGACGACTCCGGAATGAGGAGCACCGTCCAAAGCGACACCGACAATGCCCAGTGCGGGGATAAAAGAGGGGCTACCACTGATCACTCTGCGGTTGTGGGGCAGCTGGGCGTGCTGATGGTGGTGAGGATGGCAGGGACCTCCGCCGCTGCTGCTGTTGTTGTTACTGCTGGTGCTACTGTCGCTGCTGGTGCTGTTATTCAAACGATTGCCGTCACTGCAGCCTGAGCTGTCGTTGCAGTTAGTGTTGCTGCTGCTGCTGTTTATGATATTGTGGAAGTGGTGGTTGTTGTTGCTGTTGTAGACAACGGTGTGCGCGGCTGGTCCGGACACGCCGTGTGGGATGTGAGAAGTACGATCACAGTGGTTTGTAGCCAGAAGACTTCGCCCTACCACACTGCCAGATACTCCCTGAAAGCAGATTTCAAGATTGTAATTGTGGATGTTTTACGCTACTATTGAGATCATCTAGGACATTTCAGGTGGGTTTTTTTTTGTTTTTTAAAAAATCTTTACACTTTGGTTCAGTAAGAGTTTTACGGCATTTAAAAAGGTCATATTAAGTGCTGAAGAATATATGTGTTACAAGAGAGTAACACATATTCAAAAGGAAGAGAGACCAGGACGATCGGAGGAGTTAACCACATCAGAGCACCTGCTGACTACCAGCTTTTACGACACTTGCAACACAAATAGGATATAAATGTACCGAAAATTTATTTGGTGTATTACTAGGTAGTAACATACAAAGAAAAGAAACAGGGGATATCTGTGATAGGAAATCATTTCTTTTTTAAAGTAGAGGGTTTTACGGCGCTCGCAACTGTATAAGGTCATATGAGCGCCAAGGGGAGGGTGTCAACAGAGAAGTCTTTACAGGGAATCAGACTTGTCCTGCTCACCTCTCTAGCCTCAACAGCACAAGGTCTGCTTCGACTATCAAGGCACCCCGGAAACAGCAGGTCACAAGAGAGTGACAAACAGACAAAAGAAGTAGAGGAAAAATGACAATAGTAAGGATTAGGAAAGAAAAAGCAGCAGTTCCCTGTTGTAGATCAGGCCAGTTATGAGCGTGACATGAATCAGCCCATTTACAATTCTACTGTACTTGAACGAGAAATGTCCCCCCTTTGGGAATGGCCTAAAGACACTACAGTCAGTGGCACTGCCCCGGGTGGGTATATAGGAAATAAGAGCAAGCCACACCAGAGAGCTCGCCAATCACTCACATTTAGGAGGCAGGTTGTTCGACCCTTAAAGAAATGGACTGGATTCACCTTCCAATTTACGTCCTTCGCCGATAAGAACGAGCCCAAAAGGTGGAGAGTCATAGAAACTTCCCAAAACAATACACTTTAAGTGCGAGGATACTTATTTGGGCACTCGGACCGTGTCATCACAACATAATTTTTGTTGGTGTTATTTTTTTCATGAAGATGGTTTACACAACGACCGACAAGATTGAGATTATTTAGGAGGCGGGCTGCCAGGTTGCTTTGACCCTGCCTGTAAGGGCCAACCAGGGCTCTCTTGTGCACCTCTAATCTCCGGCACTTATATGACCTTATTGTATTGCAAGCGCCGTAAAACGCTCGCATGTTTTCTTAATAGACGAAGACTAACCTCTGTCTTAATGAAAATATGCATGGCATTTGGTGGCTCGACCAGCTCTTCCAAGAACAGTAAATCACGTCCAAGTCCTACAACTCTGTAGGCAAACGAACAAATCTACCTGGGCAATTACTACAATCCTGTTTTGAAATGGATGGCGACAGTAGGCATCGTGCAGACAGCGGCCACAAATTCACAATTGCAAAAGTCGATAAATGTGCGCTGCCTTATATATAGATGATCTAGCGAACGATCTTTAGAAAAGTCGGAGATGTCATTATGAAATGCTAAACCAGATTGTTATAATTTGATAGAAATATAAGGGCTCGTGACCTCAAGGGGTACAGAACATCACCTGTATCAATAGACAATACGATAATGATCAAACCCGTAACTGATAGGAGCAAAGAAAGGGATATATCTAGATCACAAGAAACAAGACACTTCCAAACCAATTTTCAGTTGAACAAAAAGATCAAGAAGTTATTACATGACATCACGTAAACCACTGCCCTAGACATCCTCCTCCCCCCCCCCTCATACCCCAAGTCAGTTGTTGAAGAATTGTGTGTTGTCCATAGCGGGGCTGCTTGCAATCGCCCACGTAGAACAAACAAAAAGAAAATGACTAGGGCTGAAGTCTACGTGATCTCAAGTAATAACCTGAAGTTTAAAAAAAATATACTGAAAATTAAGTTTGGCGGTGTTTTATTTCATCTGTGCTCGTGACGAGAGAGAGAGAGAGAGAGAGAGAGAGAGAGA